GTGGAGCGCGGCCATTTGGAAATCTGTGCCGTAAGCCCCCGGCTGATGAATAAAGTCCTTCCTCTTATAAATGTGGTGTTTGGGTGCTCTTTCTCTCCGTTGGGCCTCGTCTTCCTGCAACATTAGCACTCTGGGAGGCGAAAGCCAGAATCAAGAGACTTGCTTAAGGTAAAGAGTTTGAGACTAGCCTGACCCTTTCTCTACCAAAAATAGAAAAAATTAGCTAGCCATGGTGGCAGGCATCTGTAGTCCCAGCTACTTGGGAGGATGAAGTAGGAGGATCGCTTGAGCCCAGAAGTTTTAGGTTGTGGTGAGCTGTGGTGATGCCACTGCACTCTACCTGTCTGGAGAGAGAGTGAGACTCTGTCTTCAAGAAAAAAAAAAAGACCTCAGATCACAGAAGTTTTTTTTCAACTGAGCCTGGTTCCTCCTTCAGAAGTAGCTTCTTAAATAGCCAAGAGAGTTTGGGCTATTCTTCACCTTAGTTTTCTTAAGGAAACTTGGGGGAGTGAACAAGGTCCCTTTCTCCCTGTGGTGTTTTTTTTTTTTTTTTCCTCTTTGAGACAGAGTGTCACTTATTAACTCTCAGTAGAGTACTGTGGCATCACAGCTCACAGCAACCTCCAACTCTTTGGGCTTAGGTGATTCTCTTGCCTCAGCCTCCCGAGCAGGTGGGACTACAGGCACACGCTATAACACCCGGCCATTTTTTTGTTGCAGTTTGGCTGGGGTTGGGCTCGAACCGCCACCCTCAGTATATGGGGCAAGCACCCTACCCACTGAGCCACAGGCACCACCCTCTCCCTGTGGTGTTTTAAAAGAGAATAGGGGACTTGATTGTGCACCTGGATGAGAGTTGCAGGAGGAAGGAAGTGTCTGAGATGTGAAAGCTTAGAATGGGAAGCTATTTTGACTTGAAACTGGTCAGTCCTGTAAGAGACCCAATGAAGGGAACAATTAAAAAACAGCTTCAGGGAAGGGAAGGGAATAGTGAAAAACCCCAGAGGGAAAAGCAGCTAATATAAGGTCCAAAAGGCATTTTGTTGAAAAAAACAAATTATGAAAAGAAAAAAGAAAGGATTGCCAAGACTGCCTCCTTCTTTTCCTCCCGAAGCTCCAGCTCCTGAATTGTGAATTCTAACCAAGGCAGGCAGAGAGCAAAGCTTGTAACTGCCAGGGAATGAAATTGGCACCAGGAGGGAAGCATGCCAGGTGCAGCGAGGGGCTGACTTCGGTGCTTGTTCAGACAGGTTCTTGACATGGCTGTGGTTCCCTTCTCAATTTCCACAACCAATGGCATTACCCAAAAGTGGAGACACATTGAGGACAGCACAGATACAAGTGGGCATGGGTGTTTATTCTCAGTGCACGGCAGTATTGGTTTCTGCTCATCAGCAAAAAGCTTTATTGGTTCCAAAAAATTATCCCTTTTAAAACTCCTCTCTGTCTCAGTGAAACAACACATTTGAATTTCAGATTTGCCAGTTTATACGATTTTTTCCCCGAAGAACCATATAAATACATGCAAAACATTGTACATAGAGCTTAAATAATATCAGAATGCAAATACAGATCTGGGTGCACTGTTAAGCTGAATTGCAAATTATGGCAACACACACTGGGGTACACATTGCTTTGATATCACCATTTGTTTGTTTATGTCATGCAGACCACAACAGTCAATCATTTGTTTTGTTTGTTTTTCCTTTTTGTACAAAAATACCAGTGCTTGTTATACTAGTTACTGAAGAGAAGAAGAAGAAACTCCAAATTCCTATCTGCGTGCTGATTTGAAAAGAACAACGTAGATTTGTTGGCACATATATATGGCATATTCACATATGGCATATATACATATGGGGAGAAAACATGAACCAAAGGCCAATTCCATCACAGGGAGCTCATCTCCCTCCATCTCTCCTAATCAAGAGGAAAGGGAACAGCAGGCCTAACAGCAGGGAAGGGAAGGCAAAAGGACTGGCACCGGGCTAAGTGCAAGGGTGTCTGGTCTATTTTGAGGAAGAGGTTGGAATGGCTTAAGCATAGCAGGCATTTTAAGTGCCCACCCTCACCAACGCAGTAGGGTGGTCCCTAGATATGAAAGGGGAGGGGGTGTGTATATTGTGATGGTATCATGGGCTGCTTCAGTTGTAAGGCAAGGGAAAGAAAAGAAGGGATGCATTTAGAGGTTTCTGGGCACGTGTGAGTATGCCACCCCTCTCTGGTTTTTTGGCAGTGAGGTAATCACTTAGATTTAACTGTGCAAACTCTCCCCTCTGAAGCTCAAGGGAAAGAAGAAACTCAGACCCTGAAGAATCCACAAGTGTCCAGAGGGACTTCTCGGTGGTCTCTCTCTTAACATCTTTAAAGAGGGATAGGAGAGGCATTTGGGAGGACAGAAGACACCCATGGGAAGGACCTAGTCCCAAGCTGGTCATGCAAGGCTAGCATCAGCCATTGCTTTTTCTATTTAGAGTTCTGTCCCCTATCTAATATATTGCACAAAATCTTCCCCGGGGAGAGAAGGAGTCACAAATCAGATCCTTGCAAAAAAAAAAAAAAACAACTCACTAATGGAAAACTCCAGGAGAAACAGGAAGTGAAAACCATAAAAAAATGCAAACTCCAATTTAGAGTATCTTTACAGACCAGGAGAAACTAATGTCTTTGGTACTACTCTGCCAGATAAACCAAGGCCCCTGATCCTGATCACTGGTTATAGATCACATCTATAACATTTCTGTGTGGGGGTGGGACAGGGTACAGGGGTGCACATTCACTCCCTGACAGCTATGTCCCTTCTTGCTGGGAGTTTTCTGTCCTATCCACACTTTTCTATGTGTTTTCCGAGGTTTATCAAGAGAGGAATCCAGGATGGTACGTTCTCCCTTTCTCCAGCAGACCCTTTTCAAACCCAAAGCACCATTTTGGGGAGAAGCATTATTAACTTATGCCATATTGACTCACTGCCAGTTGGATCGCTGAAACTGAATAGAAAAAAACCTATATAAAAAAACGTATGCACAGAAACACTGAAACTTACTGAATTCCATGTCAACAAAATTTATCTTAAAAAATCTAGAACCCAACAAATTGTTTTCCCCTAAGTATAAAGATGGCTGTTTGGAGAAAGGAAGTATGGTATATTGGTTTTAAAACCAGGTACAAAGATCCTAAGTCACCTGTCATGTCAAACAGCTGGTTATGTGCTCCCTTCCACGGGGTTACATGAGGGCACTTTGTTTGAAATCCTTTAAACAAAGTACATATGGCTGACTTGAAAATATCAACTTCTGATCTAAAGAAAACTATAAATTTTTGCATATATTTCTATATTTTCTCTCTTACTATGGAAACTAGAACACAAAGAAACCGTTGACATTAAAAAAAGTACACACAAGCCCTCAAGAGTAACCTGTCAGGCACCGTGAGAGTCTTTTTGGGAACAGGCATGGCAAAATAGCCTTCAAAGCTGGTTATTGGCTTGCTTTTGAAAATGATCTGAGGTAATAAAAGATTCGGTAGAATTCAATCTTCTTATGCAGTGAATGAATATATATGTGAACACCTAACACCTTGGGTGAGCTGTTTTTGTCCCCCCATGAGTATTTATAAGACGTAGAAAAAACTGCTGAAGCACGTGAGCTTTACAAAACCCAAATCAAATTTGTTGTCCTGCTTCCTACAGTGATGGATTACGTAGTAATGGGGCCGTGTAGGGGGGATTGTTTCTTTACATTTCCTGCCTTGGACAGCTCAGGTGAAAGGAGTGAAGGAGAAGGGATTGAGAAGAAAAGGTTGAGTGGATCAGGCCACCTTCCTCTTACACATGGAAATTTGGCAGTTCGGAAGAGCCTCAAGCCCCCTCTTGTGACTCCCATCACTCTAGAAAGAGGAGGGATAGGAGTCAGAGTCATGAGTTAGCCCCTATGTCAACATCAGCAGGGATAAAAATGGAGCTCCTGCAAATGTGGCGCTACCTTGTCCTGGTAAGGAACACTTAAAAAAATGTCCTAGCAAAGTCCCCAACTCCTGAGAGGCAGACGGGGAGGGGATGCTTTGGGCAGTGTTTAGGGAAGAAGGCACAGGGCTTTGCTGGGCAGCAGCTGAAGCACATGGCTGGAGAGGGGCTTGAGTAGGACATGTGAGAGGAGAAAGGGGGCCTCTTCAGGGGGCTATTTTGCTCCTTTAAGTCAGCAAGATGTCACGGGGGGGCCCTCCCACTTTGAATGTGTATTTTCAAAATCAGACTATTTGAGAAAGGTTGGGACCTTCTCAGAGATTGGACAAGCTGTGGGGCCCAGCAAAGAGTAGATTTAGAGACTGAAGAGTATGTTAAAGCTGGTAACCAGGAACCTAAGCTCAAGATTTCTGGTCCCTGCAGGAAGGTTTTCTCAGACCATGCTAGAATGGTTCTTTGGCCTCTCCCAAGGCTTCTCAATACTAGTCGCCTCGCAATCACATGCTGCCCTGGAAGAGTCTTTGCAGATGGCTTGGAAAGCAGTGGTTACCCCAATGAGGACCCACAAGAGTCTGCTTTGACAATCTGTCCTGTGCTGGACTTGACAGCTTCTGGTCCTCAATATCGAAGTCTAGTAAGGAGGCAGGGTCATACCTAAGTCATTCTTTTGCCACCACTTTAGGAACAGGAGAAAGCTCAAGGTGGTGGTAAAAACCATATACCACACATACGCAATCTTCATGGCCATGGCTGATCTCCCTGGCACTTAAACATCACACACACCTGACAAGATGGCAGTTTCAAAGCAGAAGGTAACGTGGCAACAACAGAGAAGCATTCTTACCAGCTCTTAATGGTTTCAAAAGGACCCTGTTAGCAAAGAAACCTGTCTGATTCCAGACCTAAATCAAGAGGCCTTTGGGGGCCAAAAAGGAGAATGGTCGAAGTTTACCCACGTCCTTTTCATTTTCTTAATAACTAAAACTAAAAAAAAAAAAAAAAAAAAAGAGCTAAGGAAAGGAAGACAAGGGTCACAAAAGGCCAAAGGAACCTGGGGGAGGTTTGACTGGGAGGGCAGAAAGAACTAGAGGCCTATGGGTGTAAGTTCTCAAAATGGGAGAAATTGTTATAAAAACAATCACACTACTGGCTGATTTTACACATTCCATCCCTATTCAGCAAATTTCATTTCGGGATATTTTCTCTCTCTGAACCCTCAACTTAGTGTATAAACAGCAAAGATTAACAGAATTCAACTAAAATCCAGAAGTCAGAGATGGCGACCTATGTCACCTATGAACACAGGGGGGGAATTGAGGTTGGGATGACGCCAAGAGGACTGTTGTCATTTCTTTAAAAATGATGCAACCGATATACGCAGGAAGAGAGTCTGCCTTAACCTGCCTGGGGTTTGACTGGGTCCTGCTACAAACCCCAACTCGAGCTTCGGTTGAAATCCTTGTAGGTCCACATTCATGTCTCTTCATGGTCAGGTGGGAGTTCACACACACTTGGGAGCAGCTGACATGACAATGAAAAGTTCCATCATCATCTTACAGATGGAATGGATGATAAAAGAAATAGAGAAAGTAGGGATGGGAGTCAGAGAATGAAAATTCAAACTGATGTCTCCAGGCTGTGGAGAGGGCTGTCCGAGTGGGAGGCAACACTTTGCACTTGATTGCAATCCACCACGTTGTTGTTTTTGTTGGCATTTAGCGTGACCTCACCATCCAACAGGAGCACCCCAGTCCCCTTAGAAACCTTGTCAAGATTATTTTCCTCTTGCTCATCCAGCAGTGGTGTTCGTGGCAACTCCTCGTCAATGGCGAATTCAGGGTGGATCATGAAGTTGTGGATGGAGTTCTGGCTTTTGGGTTTCTGAATGCTTTCGTGGAGGGAACTATGGAACGCTTTGACCACCTTGATCTATACCAGGGGAAGGAAAAGGAGGATGAGAAAATAGGGAGATGAGAATTAGCCAGCAGAACAAGGAACTGGTGGTTTGAGGAGAGAAACAAAACCCAAACTACAAAACATGACTAATCAACAACCCCAAACAAACATGTAAGAAGAGATCATGGGGCACTAGAGACATCCATGGCTCAAATTTCAAGCACTGGGGTAGGGTGGGGTGAGTGATGGCAAACATCTAGGATGTTTCCAAACCCAAAGCAAAGTTAGCATTCCCAAACAATCCACTCTTAAAATGAAACAGAAAACAAGAAATTTCATTAGTTCTTTTAGATGGAGGGCAAGGACATTGGAACGTTGTGCAAATTAACAGCCAGACTTAAAAAGATGATTCCAACATGTGGATTTCTGTGTTGAGGCCAAACATTTGTGATTGTGGAGTGGAATACATGGAAGTTTTTAGTTATCTGTTTAAAGCCCCCAAAGAGCCAGAATATACCAATCTGTACTTAACACACATTGGGTGATACGTGTATGTGACCACGAATACTGTGCAGCCAGGCAGACAAACCAATCTTCGTTTGTGTCAGCAGCATGCAGGGACTTAAAACTCTTCAATTTAATAATATGCCCTTTCACGAGACATGCATATATTTACAGCCCACAATCGCCATCGTGTGCCCTTGCCCAAAAGAATGCAGAACTCCACTCCTTTCCCTCCCCTAGAAGATGTGGATAAAACACAAGTGTCAAAAGATGCCTTCCTCCTGCCTCCTGAGAGAAGACTTGGTTCTCATAACTCAAATGCAATGGCCACATCTCTGATGCATAGCAACTGTGCCCAGTGATGCCACTTTCTCCAGCTGTTTCCAAATTGGGAAGAGGAGCAAGATCTCGTGTAGAGTAGGGAAAGGAAGGAAGGGACCCAGGAGAGAAAGCTAATTCGGGAGGCGGTGTTATAAACAAGTGGCTTTTCTGATGGGGTAGATGAAGAAGATAGAGGAAAGGAAACCACTTGCAGTTTTACTGGGCAAAGGGGAATGCATTGCCCTGTATCAAAGTCTTTATTCTGTTGCACACAAAAGAAGGGATTCAGTCAATTCAAGGTCAAGAGGAAAAAATTGGTAAGAAATAATTGATCCCTGTGAATAGCCCTTGCTTAATCATAAGCACTGGCTCTTTTGGCAGCTCTGCTTGTTTGAACTGTGGGTCTCTCAGAGGTGTGGCTTAGAACCTGGGTTGGTAGAATTGGGGTAGGAGGAGAGGGTCAGATCTCCAAGGGGCTGGAGAGATCAGGAGAAAGGTAAATGGTTGGAAGACAGTTTTAGTTGTTGGGAGGTAGCCGAGCCTAGTCTTATCCAAAAATTCTTTCCCCAGGAAAGAAATGGGAGTAATGCTGGAGAAACTGTGGTGGGACAGGGGTAGGGAGGAGTGATGAAAATTGGGGTAGGGCATCTTTTTCATTCCTCTGCTGTTTAAGCAAAAAATATGTTCCTGGAGGAAGAGGCAAGAATTTGAAGACAGCAGAGCATACAAAGAGTCAGCCAAATAAACTGGTTGGATCACCTGTCCCAGGGTTTTTGACCACTGTATGAAAACTTCAAAAATACTACACAAAGAAGGCTCACCGTAAGTCCTGTTAGTGTCTTTTCTCTGGAGGAGGTTAGTTACACGTCTGTGCTGGTGAAGGCCTTCCTTATGCTGCCTCACTCTCCCACAGCCTGTAGACCCACCCAGGACTGAGGGTGTTCAGAGTTTAAAAGGCAAAGAAGGCCTTGCCACTCAGTAGTATCATCTCAACACTTCAGCTGAGAGGAGTCCAGGAGCCCGGGTATGCACTCACTATACTGAACAGAAAGTGAGGATCCACTTTTCCATCTTTCTGTGGTTCCTATTTGACTACCTGATGTGTGACTTATACCTGTTGCCTTGGCTCCACATCTAGGTGAGCTCCACATGGTCTTCAGGAGAGTCCAAGTTTTCATTGATCTACATGAAATCTCAGGGCAAGGCAACTCAGTCTAAGTGAGCCTAAACTCAATGCCTTCCACATGGGCCCTGGTAGAGATACTGTTATTGGCCGAGGGATGGTTTCAAAGCCATCCCACCCATCAAAGGCAGCATATGCTTTTGATCTGCTCTTGGGCTATCAAAATTTCTCATCAGTCCCAGAGGAGAGAAGGCACTTTCATTCTCCCAGTTCATTATCTTCAGCATGAGTGATTTTCACACTTCCTGCTCCTATTCCATTGAGTGCTTTATTGAAACAATTATATGTGGTGTCCATTATAGAAAACATGTTTTTAACAACTGGTGTTGGAGTGAGGGTCTGGAAACCTGTTGGCTGGCTTTTTCTCTCACCTGTTGGGGTGACCAATGGTATGTTATAGATAAACAATAAGGGAGATAAAAGTGAATTGGGGATGGGTAGATGGAAAAAATAGGGAAACCTTCTTTGGGGGTACAAGGAACAGTCATCCAGCTAGACTGCAGGACTTCTGGAATCTAAAGGGAAACCAGCCACCTGTAAGGGAAGCTCAAGTGAGGAGGAGTTGGAGAGCTTGGGAGCACCACCTGGCCTGGTGGGTGGAGAGAAGGGTGAGGAAGTAGAAGGCATGGGGCTGTGCCAGAATGTTCCTCAGCACCAATGCTAGCCTCACACATGCTGATGAACAACCACACAACATCACCACCAATCCACTCCAGGGCTGGCATCTTCCCTTCCTGTAGCATGGTGCCTGGTGCATGAGCAGTGTATGGGGACAAGACAGGGCCAGTGAAGCAGGTGTAGTGAAAACTTCGAGTACTCCCCAGTCACCTATCAACCCTTCCCTCCAGGTTTGTTGTTTTTCAGAACCTCTGAAAAAATGTCTCTTCTAGGACCCCTGTTGTATAGGTAGAAATGGCTGATTGAAGGGCAACTCTTTTTTGTGACTCTGAAGCTCCAACCAGGCTGGACCTTAGATTAGGTTGGAATACTAAAGGCTGCTCCCTGGAGGTCAATGAGTGGGTAGGCAAAGTCTCCATTTCCTCAGCTGGAATTCTGTAGTTTTCTGCCGTCTTTTCAGAAGGTAGGGAAGAGAAGGATTAGGGCCTTCTCATTCAGGGAAATCTTAGAGATCTGTCTAATGATGGTTGAATTCATTTGGAGGTCTGGAATGGGAAAGAGGGTTTTTAAATGCATGACTATTAACGTATAGGTCCAGGACCTTCCTACAAAGAAGGCACAGCTGGAGAAAGAGCAGATGTGGGGCAGTGCCTGTGGCTCAAAGGAGTAGGGCACTGGCCCCATATGCTGGAGGTGGTGGGTTCAAACCCAGCCCTGGCCAGAAACTGAGAAAAAAAAAAAAAAGAGCAGATGTGGTGTCTCCTCTGATCTTCTAGCCTTTGAGGATTTGCAGCATAGCTTCTATCAGCTCCTCTGCAAGGGCCCACTGGGCTCAGTCTTCTGCTTAGCCTCTTTCTACCATGATACCACTGGGGCATCTGACACTAACCCTTCCTACCAGAAAGGGATATTCTAAAAAGAACAGAAACTAGCTAGAGGGGGTGGCAAAATGAGAAGAAAAAAGGAATTAAGACAGGAACACAGAAGCACTGGAGTGAGAGGCTCTTGCATATTTGTAGGGCAAGAATTATTTAGTTCTTTATTGTATGCCTTTGGGTCTAAAGAAATAGTCTGTAACTATACCAAGCCCTATCTCCCATACCTCCTATCAGAACACTAATGGTGGCTAAACAGACAAAACAAATCTAAGTCTGGTCAACCTACATAACTCACAATCATGGGAACTACAGATAATGCAACTGCTCTTTCTTTACCCTTGCCCCAGGGTTGAGGGGTTGGGTTGAGAGTGAGGGAGGAAGGAATTGATTACACACTCAGATACTTGAAGCCCATAACATATTTAATATGGAGAAACTTTTTTCCTACCTTAATAGCACTATCAGCAAAGAGCTGGGTGCCTTCTCACTCCTTTCTGGGTCCCATAAGGGGAAGGTAAAAGGACCAGGAATAGGAAGGCATAAGCATTAACAAGAATCCAATAATCTACCAATAGGAATGCCAGAGCTTAGGTTGAGAGTTGATAGCATTCCAATGGAAAAGCTGGCTGAGAAAAGGATTCTTTTTTTTTTTTTGAGACAGAGTCTTATTTTGTCACCCTTGGTAGAGTGCTGTGGCATCACAGCTCACAGCAACCTCCAACTCCTGGGCTTAAGCAATTCTCTTG